TATTTTCTGATTTTCTTTTCTTTTATTTCAAAGCCATTTTAATTTCATTTGCAAAAGAAATTTAAACCATTTTGAATTTTCAATCAAAACCACTCAACCAAATAAATCAAATGCAATGGCATGTATGCTCAAACATGTTGCTACCTTATGATGAATTTTAATTTAATAAAAAAATTATTTTCCTATGTTTTCATGAGCACAAAAATTCAAAATTACCTCAATTTACACCTATTTCAAAAGGAGCAAATTTTAGTGTGTTACACAATGACACTTTTGATTTAGAGTTCTAGAAATACACCATGATGAGTTCATAACAAGGCAATGCTCAGGGAGAGTTGCCGGTTGGAGAAATAAAAATTTGACAAAGTCATGCGTCAGAGTGAAAAAGGTTAACAAACCAGAGACATTGCCGTTCAAGTCTGTTGCAGTGTTGTTGTAATTCTCCAGGACTCCAAGTCCAGTATATGACATCAAAGATACGGGATGGGGACGAGCACGCAGAGACTTTTGTATTGTTGCCAAATAATTTTGATTCCACGGTCACACCCAAATTTGACACAGCCCATATGGAGCTGAGAAAATCATTCTGTTTTACTCCTTTTCACATATAGTGGCAGTCCTCAGTTCTCAGTGACCTTGCCATGGGGCATGGGACATTGATACCAATATTGTCCATGAGAGAGCAACTATGGTCAAAGAAACTCTGCAGCAATGACACATTTGATATGCACCGTGGTTGGCAGCCCATACACACAACACATTTGATATCTGCGGGATTTGATCTTTTTTTATTTGAAATCATTAGGGCCCAAAAAATCTATTTTAAGTTTTCTTATTTTGAAATGCACAAATTTGGAAAACTATTTTTTTTAAATGACATCGGATGGAGAAACAACTTACACCAAAGTTGTACTGCACGAAGAAATCTAAAACTTTTTAGTTAAAAGTTTTTCAATTGAAATCATTTAGGGCCTCAAATGTGCATTACAATATTTGTTAAAGTGAATACAAAATGATTGCATCAGCCACTTGGTGAGGAGTCACCTTTGAGGTGGAGTGGTACTGAAGTAATGTGCAAATCCGAGGTTGTGAGTTTGATCCCCTGTGGCCATATACTAACAAATAGTTGTGTGATGTAGTGATAAGGAGGCCACGCATGAGGCTTGGGCTGTTTGGATTGGAGCCTCGCCTGGGGGCTTCTGTCCAGGCACATCAATCCAGCCCTAGGCTTAGAAAATCGATGGCCTGGAGTAGTTTCCTGGCCCAGGCATATTTCCCAGGTCTTGATCCAACGCATTCAAATCTTAGAAGATGCACACGCAAAAAATTGTGTGACCTATGACTTGCAAAAATAGGAAGGTGCTTAGCTAAAGTCGGCTTTACTTGTTTTTTCTTGAAACCATCATGTCCAGTGTCGTGCCTGTTAATCCTTTTTTCAGTATACTTATTAATTTCCTATAATGCTAATTTTCCGTTGTCCTACATGTGTTGCATTATGGAACCCACATACACATGCTGCATAATCTCCGTACCTAGATGACATATGAAGGATAGGGCGTGTTTGGTAGTGCTTCTCCACCCGCTCCAGGAGCTGCTTCAACCCCCCCAAACAAACGGCTTCTAAAGAAATAGCTCTATACCTAAAGTCCTGCAAAATCCGAGCTAGAACACGGTAAGGAGCCGAAAAATCTAGCTTCACTCGTCTCCATTTTGCTCCCGTGGGTCACTCATCCCTGCACACTGAAGGTCACCACCAGGGCCCCGCCTTTCTTGTGCGCCACCCCGATGCTAATTAACGTTCACGCTCCACCAGCGGGTGAGGATGACCGACGCTAGGAAGGAGGGTCAATGCCAGTGGAGGAGAACCGATGTAGGATTTTAGCATCAGTGGAGGACGGGCGGACAAGGGAGTTCAACACGGTGGAGGAGGGGCTGGTGCCCCGGCCTGACTTTTGGGGGGATTGGGGCAGCGACGGTGGGATAGCCGATAGAGAGATAGGGGGAGATGACGAGCAAGAGGGCTCGGGGAGGTGAGAGAGATCCCGGAGGAGGCGAGAGAGAGGAATTAAAGAGTTAGCCAATGAAAACGTCCATGTATAAAGTAGACTAACAATAAGTTGTTATACCAAACATTTCTCTACCAGGTGAAGCTAAAATCCAAAAAAAATTATTCCACCAAAGAAGCTGGAATTAGAGTCGTTTTATCTAAAATTAGAGCTATACTAAACTAAGGATGCAATATGAAAAAACCCCTAGCCATTTACATGTAGTCAGTTAGTCACCAACGATGCTATATATCATGGATTGCTTACAGAAGGTATGGTTACTGCCAAAACAGGAGAGGTAATTCTTGAAGGTGACTTTCATTTTCGTACAAGGAAAAAATGCTCACAAGTGCAATTATTAGTAAATATGGGATTGTTTCAATCATGGAGTAGAACTGGGTATTTGAGAAGCGTAGACACAAAGTATATTAGTATTATTTGGTAACCACCTTCCAAAATTTGGAGACAGCTCTGGATACCAACATTCCGATGCGATGTCATTATGTCAATTGATCCAAGGGTTGATTAATTTGTAGTACTGTCGACGCAGGTTCTGTCACTCCGTCACGTGTGTGTGTGTATGGGTATATATGTGTGCCTTGAAAATGAAATTGAAAGGGGAATATATAATCTGCCATGTCCTGTCGTCCTATCGGACGCACTCCCAGCTCTTCAGTAGTAATTAATTATTATTGTCTGTGGGCAAGAGAGCTTGCGGCATTGGTCCTGTGCCATTTTGGGCTACTAGTAGTACTATGAGTCAGAAGAGTACTAATAATTTTGTTTCGAAGGCTCCAATAATCCTGTATCCTTTTGGTCCCGCTTGATTCCGTTCCGCCCTAGCGGCCCAGCCTGCTGAGATGTGGTCGCCATTGGCGAGCCAGGGTCCAGGGCCATCGTCCTGGCAGGCGGCACCACAGCAGCACACAGTGCGGTAGCTGCAGCTGCAGCCATGGCCTCTGTCTGATGCCCACGCAGTACGAGTCCAGCCGGTGCATGAAAGTGAGAGCACACCTCACACAGCAGCACCACCGTCCACAAACAAGATGCGAATGCTGGGTTAGCTAGCTGATGCTCTGATGCTCACATGCATGTAGACAGGCGCAGACGATCGAGCAGGCGGCATGCATGCATCAGTGCGTCACTGGTCACGGCTTTGTCTGCATCTCGCATCGCACGCAGGCATGATATGATCCACCGAGCTACCGTCCATGGCGCCGGTCAAGCCCGCCAGCAGCCTCCCTCAAGCGCTCGATCGTCGCCGTCCATCTCCCTCCCAACAGAAAAGCTCTCAGTCATCACTCATCACAACCTTTTCACTCTTTTTACTTATCCCTCTCTTTGCGTATCTACTTTTGCAGCCCAAAATTAAATGAAAAAGGGATCCAACGGAGAGAGTTTTCAGTGCCAGTGCCAATTGCCAACGCAAGCATGCATCATCTCTCACGGTCTCACCGTGTCAGTGTGGATTCTTTTCCAGCAGCAATTGCTCACATGTGTTTCTTTCTCCGTGCACACGCCTGCAAGGCGGCAAGGCAAGGCCCCAACACAACACTACTGCTGGGTCCATGGCAGTTGGCACTACCAATCTGCCTTATAGCATTACGACAAGCTATGCATGCCTCTTGGTCTTTCTTTCATCAAAAAAGGACTAGTAGTACTAGACTACTAGGTAGTAGCTAGGTTTATTCAGACATTTGGTTACACATGTGCATCATTAATTTGTCAGTGACTAGAGGCCGATCGAAAGATTATTACTTTCCATTACAAGTTGAAACATGGTATTTATTCAGTTGTATTGTTACCTGAATGAATGAAGAGAATAAAAAACAAGAAAGGGGTCGATGAGTGTACGTGGTTGCTCCCTTGCTCTGTAGCAATGGCAGCCACCTAACAATCTGGTGCATGCACCAGCTACCATAGCATAGATACATGTACTACACGTGGACGCTCGCTCATTTCCTGTCAGCTCGGCTACTACTCCTACCTCGCACAGACAGTGTGAAGAGAGCAGCGTCTTGTTTAGATTGCAAAAAAAGTGAACCCGATAAATAGTTTCATTTTTGTCTTATTTAGTAAATATTGTCTAATCGTTGACCAACTAGGCTTAAAAGATTCATCTCGTGATTTCCAACTAAACTGTGTAATTAGTTATTTTTTTACCTATATTTAATACTCCATACAAACGGCTAAAAATTAATGTAATAGAAAAAGAGTGAAAATACTTGAAATTTGGATGGCATCTGAACAAGGCCCAGGTACGTATAGACTGTAAATGCATCGCTTCCGGCCACCTCGGAGTCAGCAAGGACCAAATCAGATGAATCGCATTCAATGCATGTCATACTGACAAAATTATGCTTAGGCCCTGTTAGCTCCTAAAATTTTTCATCCCAAAATATCACATCAAATCTTACGACATATGCATGCAGTACTAAATGTAGATGAAAAACAAAACTAATTACACAGTTGGGTGAGAAATCGCGAGACGAAACTTTTAAACCTAATTAGTCCATAATTAAACACTAATTACTAAATACAAACGAAAATACTACAGTAACCAAATCAAAAAATTTCACCATTTAAACGCGCTCTTAGCTTAGCTTAGCTTAACTATACACTAGTACGCCAGGAGGTTTCAATTCATTCATTGGCAGCCCGCGCAACATAAACCAAATCGGAATTCTACCCCCACCCATCCGCAACCTCACTGCAACAAAATGTAGGGAGCAATTCCATCTGGGACGGACTGGACTGGGAGGAGGAAGAGGAACCAAAACCAATACCAATACCAACCAACCAAACCCAAAAGAAGAAGCAAGGCGACGACAGGCTGATGGACAGCAGGGAGAAACGAGAAGGAGAGCGGTCGTGTTTACAGCCTGCACAGCAGCAATGAATGGCGAGCGAGCGCTCTGAGCTGAGGATGTTGTACTCTTCAACACTAATGTTCATTCATGGATCCAGGATGGTGCCTCCGCACCTGCACTTCCAGCTGAGCGGCTTGTAGCTGGTGATGCCGTCCACCCTGTTGGTGAACATGGCGGCGGCGAGGGTGACAGCCGTGGCAGCTCTCGTCTTCTCCTCCTGTGGTACGATGGGCACCTGCACCGCCTCGCAGTGGCCGCAGGACGTGCACACCCGCTCGCATCTCGGGGGCCTCGATCCGATCAGAGACCGCCGCCCTTCCGTCTCCCTCTCCCATTTTATTCTTGCTGCCTCCTTCTTGTTAGCGGCCATTACCTTGTCGGTGACGCCGGTGTCTGGGAGTGAGAAGAAAAGCAATGTATCAGAGCCTCCAAATCTCCAATGTAATGTCAGAAGCAAGCAAAAGATAGGGGGGAAAAAAGACGAAAGAAAGGGAAATAGATCTTACTGGCATCTGAGAAGGCTACCTCCTCCATGGAAGATGCGAGGAGGAGGAGGAGGAGGATATAGAAGAGGAAGAGGAGTACGTGAAGACCGTGAACGCTGCTGCATTGCAACAGATCGACCATCTGGCGCGGGCGCGTGCTCACTGCTCTGGCTTTGAAGAGATCTGAGAGTGGATATGGAACTATGGAGCAAGGTGCATATGGATGGATCAGAGGAGAAGCTAATGAGGTAGGTAGCTAGCTAGCTTGATCTCTGCGCAAATGCAAGGTGCTGATCTGAATCTTGTACGTAGCTAGCTAGCACGGCATTTGTGTCGTCACTGTCACCCACTCACCCTCTGATGATGATGATGATGATCCATTATCAGGTTTGCATTGCAGATTGGTTGGGTGGTCGAGCTAGCAGCTAGGAGAGAGGGAGGGAGGGAGGGAGGAGGAAGAAAGTGATGGATAGATAGATTAGGATACTTGCTATTGGGATGGGAGCGCCGGAGCAAACGGAGATGGGTGGTGGGATAAGCTGCCCCGGCCGGCCCTGCAGGCTGCAGCTGTGGTGTGGGTAGGCTACTAGCTTTGGCGAGGCTCTCGCTTTGTTCGCTCGAACTTAGCAGGTTTCAGCGAAATAACAACGTTTTTCTCTCACAGTAAATCAGCGTCAACGTAAGCATGCAGAACATGGCCTTTCCAGGTGTCGGCTGCATTCACACAGTAATCATGTGCAGTGAGCCAGTGACTGCCTCCGCCTGCTGACTGCAGACTGCTGGTCAGTCAGCCGGTGAGAGTGAGCAATTCGCTCGTAGTAGGAGTACCCCACCTTGTAGCAGGAGACCGCCTGCTTGCATTGTGTGCTATCCTATCCTCGTCAGGTAATCAATCAGGTGAAGTGCTTGCACTGTTGGAGCTAATTGATCGAGTGCATCCATGATCAGCTGAACAATTAGGTGGTATCACAAGTCCAATAATTATCATCAGCGTGGCCGTGGAATCCATCGACAAATTTTCCTATTCGCTCGCATGTGCGCTGATCTGGAGTGGCTCTACCCTGTCTCTCTGCCCGGATCGATCGAACCTCTTTTTCGTCCGGCAGTCAGAATGGGCGTGTTTGCATGCCTGACATTGACAACAGGGTGGATCTACAAAATCAGGCCATTATTGATGTCATCATGCAACAGTCTAACAAATCTTAGGATCGTCGCTTAGTACAAAACACTACTACTTACAAAAGGGATTTGTCCACCAATTGGTGATCCATGATATATATATATATATATATATATATATATATATATATATATATATATATATATATATATATATATATATATATATATATGTGTGAAGAGTATATTCAGTAGCCAGCTACAAAATAAGTTATTTTGTAGCCACCTCCATTTACGATAATTTTATATACTAATTTACGATAATGTCAATACATATTTACGATAGTTGGTTTACTATATCACATGGGGATATTTATCATAACGTTATAGTAAACCACTTAGTAAGGAGTTACTATAATCTCGTAAATTAACAGTAATTATCGTAACTCAAAGTGGCTATATATATATATATATATGAGGTGGATTTGAGTAGGAAGGAGATTTAAATATAGCTCAACTGACATTAGTTTTCAAAATAGATTTTGAAAATATTTTTGAGCAAGTGATTTTTAAGAATTGAATTTTTGGGATGTTACAACCGGTGACAAGAAAAAGAGAAAAGGACAGCACCAGTGCCCTATTTGTATGGACTATGGATATAATTTGTATAATTGCAAGAGGGGCAGACCAGAACACATTGAAGCTATGAAAGCAATCAGGTAATAACGTGTCTAGTCTTCTGTACCATTTATGTTTTTCCTTTATAAGGTATGTGTTATTGATTTTATTCTTATTAAAGGGGAACCAAAGAAGAGGGAAAGGAATACCAAATCTATCCAAAGTTCCATTGTGCCTTTGGAGGAAGATGCACCAGCGGCATCCATGTCTTTTCCCCCAAGGTTTGCTATTTCTTCCTTTCTCACATGGTTATTTCACATTTCTGATGGATTCTAAGTACCAACTTTGACACCATAGTCAAAACTTGAAAACAGCGTATACTAAAAAGAGGAAAAGTGATGATTATACTCCTGAAGGCTCTAAAAGGTAATTGAATCGTGCTTTCAAAACTAAATTATTTGACTATCATGACAGCCAAAGCTCGGAGATTTCATTTAAGAAAAAGGGAAACCACACTAACTCCAACTATGTACGTTCATAATTGTACATTTCTTAATTTTGAATTTTATTCATTCATTCAATTTTTTTCCTCTAATCTAAACCATTCTCAATGTATAACATTTGTAGGTCAAGAAGTGGGTCAAATCAGCCTGACGCACTTTCTATTGGTTCACACGAAGATTGACCTGCTCAAAGTAAAAGGAAGCTGAAACCCATCAAGAAGAAGCTAGGCCTTACAAAGAAAACAAAGACGTAGACATTCTAGAGGTGCCACTTGACAGCCCATCGATGGATACAAGAAGCAAGACAGGACTTCCTAGCAGCCCTGCCATGAGCACGCGAAGTAAAAGAATGTTCAACCTTTGATTTGTGATATGCATATTGAATTCACTCGTTGCATGTCAGACCAATGTATGTTTGAAATCGTACTTTTGTGTGTCCTTATTTATGTGAGACCACATTTATGTGAGATTGAAACTATGGTGGATTTGTAAACAATTTATGTGTCAACCTATGGTTAATTGCAATGCATTTGTGCAATTTTTATGCATTTGGTAAGCTCACTTTGTTGCAATGTATTTGTGTATTTGATTATGTGTCTTATTGTGTACTGTTATATGTAAATTTATTTGCATAATATTTCTCCAAATGTACAACAGACAAAAAAACTCTATATTTTATTTTTTTGCCGAGGTATAATGGTCATTTTATCCTGGACTTAACACCGTCAAGTGTCCAAAACCAACGGAAGGCCATAGAAGGAAGAAAATTTCGTTTTGGGGCCATACAGGTAAGTTCAAAAAAAAGGCCATACAAGGAAGATGCATTTTTTCCAGGGCCATATAGGTAAAAAGCTCTTCTAAATTCTCACCCAAATTGCAAGTTTATGCCATTATAAAAAAATAATCTAAATTTCCCCTAAATACTCACGATAATCTGAAGTAATAAACTCAAAAAAATTGTATCTAGCCTGCCTCATTGTTCAAATTAATATAAAGTAACCCTAAAATCTACTTCTAAATTTCCTAAATACCAACAGGTGCAGTAGTGGGCACGGTGTTTTTTCTTTTCTTCTTGTTTTGTGAAATGGGAATCACCACCGGCTGAGAAGCCGATAACGAAATTCGGGGTAAACATAGGGCCTGGCATAGCTCAACTTCATTAATAAAACTGTTTTTTTTAAACAGCTTCATGAGCAACTTTCTATGTGAAACTGAGCTGTTTTGAAAAAACTGTTTAGCAAAACAGCTTCACCAATAACTTCATACATGGATGAGAGGAAGAAATGAGGAAGAGAACTAGGATAAACTACTTTTTTTAGCTTTATCCCAACTCATGTCTTTATGAGAGGGAGAGAAAAATAACTTTACAGATAAAACTATTTTAAAAATAAATATTTAACAAATAAAACAGCTCATAATAGATCATAAAATTATTATGAGCTGTATCAAACAGGCCCAAGTGATTGCTAGCTTTTGGGCAGTGAAAGCTGGTTTCGAGCCCGCAGTTATTGCTAGTTTTTGGGTAGTGTGCTGCTCATATTGCTGGTCAATGACAAGGTTACAGTCTTACAGAAAACTAACGTCTTGCTCTCCCGCCGTGTTGACGCTGCCAACGAAGACCTCAATAGACTATAGGTGTGATATACCGCTGGCACCAAAGAATTAATATCCGTTCCAAGATGTTGTGGTTCACTAAGGCCCTGTTTAGTTTCTAATTTTTTTTTTTTTTCTACAGTAAAAGAGTATGTTTAGACACATGCATGGAGTACTAAATGTAGACGAAAAAAACTAATTGCACAGTTCTCGACAAAATCGTGAGACGAATCTTTTAAACCTAATTAGTCCATAAAAAGTCTTAAGTGCTATAGTAACATGCATGTGCTAATGACCGATTAATTAGTATCGTTATATTCGTTTTGTAGTTTCCTGATGGGTTCTGTAATTTGATTTTCTATTAGTATCAAAAACCCCTCCCAACATCTTTCTAACACATCCGATGTGACACATAAAATTTTTACCTCCCCAACTAAACACACCCTAAATGAAACAGACAGCCCACATGAAGCCAAAGTCACAACGCGCATCCGATCAATAGATAAAGGCTCGCTAGGATTAAGCTAAGTTAAAACATATATAAACCACATGTACGGTTGTGCCATTTTGCAGTAGTGTGTGCACTGCTGCTATTGCCTAGTGCGGTAGTGCCTACTGCAGCTACTACCGTCCAGTGATGATGTCCTCCAAGATGGGCATGGCCAGTGCTATTCTCTTCCTACTCCCGCTCGTTTTCGCCGCCGATGACGGGTTCCTGTTCAACGGATTCCACGACACTGCAGGCTGGGCCGTCGATGGTACGGCTTCCATACTACCAAATGGCATCCTCAGCCTCGCTGCCACCAACAACGCTGGTATGTTGTACTCCCGAGGTCTTGCCTTCTATCCTTGGCCGTTCCAGATTCATAACCTCACCAACGGCTCCATCTTCTCCTTCTCTGCTACCTTTGCCTTTGCCATGCTTCCTTTTGATCAATTTCCATCCACTACGGGCGATGGAATTGCCTTTGTCCTCGCCCCAAACACCAGCTTCACCTCTGCAACAATTAGTACTGGTTCCTTTGGTCTTCTTGACACCAACGACAATGGCAAACAATCAAACCATCTCCTCTGCATTGAGCTAGACACCACATACAACTCGATATTCAATGACATAGATGACAACCATGTCGGCATCAACATCAACAGCTTGAACTCCTCACGATCCTCTCCGGCAGGCTACTACGTGGATGATCCATACTCTGATTTGCACCCGCTGGGGCTATCCAGTGGCAAGGAGATGCAAGTATGGATAGACTGTTAGCTAATCTACTGCCGCCTTGTGTGAACACAGCAGAGAAAGGTGGCA